CCCCCTGAGCTTTTCCAAGTAGTATTTGTTGGTGCTCATGTTGGATCATCATTCCATTTCCATCAGAGAACGAACAACACGCCACACTGTGTCATTTGTTAAATTGCCTTCATATTTTCTGTCCATTGACTTTCACATGAACAAGAAGATGGATCTAACCGCTCATGTATCGTTAGCAACATGGCTACCGTTAGCATCCTGGCTAAAATTACTGTCCAAGAAACAACCAAAAGAATCCCAATTTAAATTGCAACTGCACGTACATCGTTAGGTAATACGATACGAAGATACTTTATTGGTCAGATCAACATTTGACTTGTGTCACCGCAGCTCCATTGGCAGCATCAACACAATAACTGAGAGAAACATGCTCAAAGACCCTTTAGCGTACATTTGACCTTTGATTTAGTACAGGGATTTTGTATGACTTACTTACTTTATACACACACGCACACTCTCTCTCTCTCTCGCTCTCTCTCTCTCTCTCTCTCTCTCTCTCTCTCTCTCTCTCTCTCTCTTTGCATCTGAAAGTCAATCATTGTGATGATTTTCCAGTAACACCTGGAAGGCCTAACGGATGGGTGTGCCCATGTTGTTACTGGCGGGAATAACGAAAACCTGGGATGACCTGAAATGTACAAAACAGGTTGTAAAAGGCATTTACGACTAGTAGACACACTCACATTGTTTTATCCAAGAGGCGTCTTTTGTTGCTGTTTTGCTCTCCACTCACAGCTGTGCAAGTGTAGCGGCAGAGACGCTCGAGTGCCAAATGACTTACTGTAACAGCATGGACTCAGACCAAACCCTCCAACACTCTCAGGTGTCACTGTGTCCCTTTGGCCAGCAAACCGGACTGCATAATATTTCAACTTTAGACTGCAGCAGACACGCGTGCGTAAAAGCACCAGCATGCACATACATATGTGGTGAGTAAGGTTTTTCTTTGGTCATGAATGAATAGCAACATCCATGAGTTACCTACAATTATGGAAGAAAAAAGAAGGTGAATCTAATGTTTTCAAAATGTAACTGTTGGAAAAGTTAACTTTTAAACACATTGTGAGAGTCAAGCACATATTAAAGCACACAAAAACATTGCTTATCTAGGTGAAGATTACAATGAACTGTACGAATTGGCACAAGTAGAAAAAGTGTGTGGCAAGGTGTCAGTCTTTTGCCATGAGTCAGTTACATAATTTAGACATAAAAGAGGCTCCACTGCCCCCGGCGTTCCTTTATCCATTAACAGACGCGCTGCCTCCCTGAAGCGACACATACTGCACTAACTGGAAGATCAGAGGCAGATATTGACCTTCATATCTATAAAATAACAGTTGGGGTTTGTTTACAAATGGTTCACTCAATTTTAAAAGGTTTTCACTGCAAATTAAAACTCCCATAAACCCTCAATCCAAAATGGACATTTTGAATATGAACAGCAGCGCTTTTCTGCCAATAACTAACAGGCTGCTCTGTTTTATTTCAACAAGGATCCGATTGAATTAAACAAGCCTCAAGACTGAGCCCTCTGCACCAAGTCCATTCTGCCATTGACCTGCCACAGCATGCACCCCCCAATGTAAAAAAAATGGCACTTCTCAGGCTCAGTGTGCATGTGTACGCATACTTAAGTGAGTTTGAGAACAGCCTAATCATTAAAGAAAAGTTATTGCTTAATTTAAATACTCCTTTTCCTGCAATAGGTGGCATTAAGACACACACACACACACACACACACACACACACACACACACACACACACACACACACACACACACACACACACACACACACACACACACACACACACACACACTGTTTTTTAATGTGATCACATTTGTTCTTGAAAGAAGAAAACAGGGGGTCCACTGTGTGTGTGCACGCCAAGCAGTGTACAGCATCTGAATTCAAGAGCCAATCAGAGAGCTGTAAAGACACTGAGCCCCCCAAGTACTGCTGGTTTATAGGGCTCAGCTGCAGAGAAGTCACATGACTTCCCAGAGAGTGAGAGAGAGACAGGGAGAGAGGAGTGGGCAATGTGGGAATGGAGGATGAAGAAGAGGAGGAGGGAAAAGAGGGTCAGGAGGGAGACAGGAACGCTGCGAGGGGTGAACTGAAGGTCTGATAAATGAATGTTGAAGAAAAAAGGTCTAAAAAAGACAGATGCGACTGTTCTCGGAAGTGAATTTTACATGTGATTCATGGTATATAATTACAGCTGAATGAACCAAATGAGAAAGGACTGATTGAAGAGAAGTGAGTGGATGAATGAAGGATGAGATGAATGATTGCACACAGCAGTAGTGGTTGTAGCTGATTACTACAGCAGGTAATCTTGATGGTCTGGTTAACCCTGCCTCATACTATCAAACAACTCCTCTCTTCACCACGATGCTTGAAGGGACAGTTCATCCAGATTACGAAACAACATTTTTCATTTACCACAAGTGGTATATAATTCATGTGTTGTATGGAAGTGGATTAAATTCACTCGGAGCTCTCCTTTGTGTCTTTCTTGATGCCATTTTCTGATTACTACAATCCATCCATTTTCATTTGGACTATTTCAGTTCAGTGCGAGCAAGAAGTAATTTTTCAAATGTCATTTTTCAATACTCAAAGGACCACTAAAGAGAATCCATTCACTGCTATAGAATTTGGATGGAGAAAGATAAATATCTCAAATCTTTGTTAAAAACAATGTGTTTTTTTACGCTATTTGTAGCCAATATGCCAGAAATGTTGTTTGTAAGTTAATGTGGAATATTCTTTCTATAGATAATTTATTCGCTTCCTTATAGGACATGTGATGCATTAACGAAATATGTAACGTTCAAACAGACATTATTAAAAGTATTAAAAGTCTGAGGACCGTTACTGTAGACATTCAAGACGAATGAACCTCTTTGTGTGGGGTGTGTGTGTGTGTGTGTGTGTGTGTGTGTGTGTGTGTGTGTGTGTGTGTGTGTGTGTGTGTCTGTGTGTGTCTGTGTGTGTGTGTAAAGTAAAGCATGTCCTCATGGCCAATGACATATGAAGGGGGGGGGACTGTGAAATGTGAAACAGATGTTACTCTTGTTTGGCATGCAGTGATGTCGACACCTTTACACTGCAGAGTCAAGTGTGTGCCTGTGTGTGTGTGTGTGTGTGTGTGTGTGTGTGTGTGTGTGTGTGTGTGTGTGTGTGTGTGTGTGTGTGTGTGTGTGTGTGTGTGTGTGTGTGTGTGTGTCTTTGTGTGCGTATGAGAAACCTCATTTGAGGGAAGGCTTCCCA